GGGGGGGGGGGGGGGGGGCTAAGCTGAGAGCCTTTAAAAAAAAAGAGGAAGGGTCACTGAAATGAAAGTAGTTTGGCAAACAACCTTGATCCAGCCCAGAGTAAAAGGGATGAAGCTGTTTCAGAGGGGAACAAGTGCCTGCTTGGGCTTTAAAAAATAAGTAAAAGTTTGGGTTTAAATCGTGCAAAAAAAATAAAAACAAGCCAGGCCTCAAACACGTTTTATAAAAAGGTTTTTAAACCTAATTATTACGCTTTCCGGTGGGAATCTGCTTTTAAGCCTCGTTTTTCTTTGAAATCAGCTAATGGGATTTGTTGCTGAAGAAAGGAATCATCACAAGGTCTATCCACCCCCGGAGCAGGTGTTCACATGGACCCAGATGTGTGACATCAGAGATGTAAGTGAAGCTGGGGTCTGGTTCGGGAAGAAACAAATAGCGATTCCTAATCACAGACACTGATGTGAAGCCAGAGGCAATGATTTAGTAGTAAACCTGAAATTGTGAGTTTTGCTTGTGTTGACTGTGCCGGCCGGCACTCAACCCTTGCACCACCAAATGTATCTCTAGCAGTTTATGTTAAAGTAACTGCTATTTTCCATAACAAAGGGGAAATACAGTTGATTGCCTGCTTTTTTTTCCTTTTAAATTGTTTCTTTGTTACATATTACCCCAAGGTTATTTCGTTCTTGATGGGAGTCAGTTGGATTGGAGAAGTGAGAGTCTTTCTATTCGCATAATGTGTTCATTGTGGGGAAAATGCAGAGAAGTCTTGTGCTAACATATACAAAAATGTGTCTGCACTTGGGGGTTGGAGGCCAGCCTGTGCTACTTGAGACCCTGACTCCATAAAACGAGGCAAAAGCAAGTGCTGTTACGTGTTATGCAGACATAGGAAGGATGGTCTGGGGTACTTGATTCAGGTAGCTTGCCTAGCGTCTGTGAAGCCCCATGATTAATATGGCCACCAGCTGAATGGCTCATTCGAAACCACCCTTCAGTCAGTCATGTGGATGGTAACTTTCCGACTCTGGTGTCCTGACTTCATTGTCTTCCTCATCCAGCCTTTCTCAGAACCAGTTAGTAATAGAACAAGTGAGCAGATCGCTCACAAGTTGAATAATACCTTGCAAAATCTTCACCTGAGGGTCATCAACCCTGTCCACATGCAGACTCTGCTGTAGGGTATGGACCCTTAAGCGCAGCTCTTGGGCAAGTGGATTTGAGTAGAGACTGCATTGCCTCGGGCCTAGAGGGCCAGACCACTCTAACTCTGGTGTTGTCAGTCATAGCCTTTGTTTAGCTGTGCTGGGGTCTGAACCAGGATCTTAGTGCTGTGCAAGTGCTCTCTACGACTGAGCTGTGCCCTTTGTATTATGACCCAGATCTAAGCCGGCTTTGAACATACTTTGTAGATTAGGCTGACCTTAATTTCTGGTTTAGTGGGGGCTTTTTGGTTTGGTTTGCAGTCCTGGGGAATGGAGCTTATGGTTTTGGTTATTATGCTTTACCATTGAGCCACAGTCTTCAATTTTTGATGTACCGTCTCCACCTCTCAGGTAGCTGGGATTGTAGCCCGAGTGGTTGGTCCTGGCTCATCTCAGCATTCTGTAGGTTGCTGAGTCTCATTCATTCCCTTGGACTGTCTTGTTCTCAAAATCTTTGGTGTTCGGAATCCTTCCATTTTCTCTCTGTTTTAAATCAGTTGTATTTTATGTGCATTGGTGTTTTCCCTGAATGTATGTCTGTGTGAAGGTGTCAGATCCCCTGGAATTGAAGTTGCAGAAAGGTGTGAGCTGTCATATGGGTGTTGGGAATTGAACCCAGATCCTCTCTTAACCACTGGGCCATCTCTGTAGACCCCCCTCTCTTTAAGTACACCCCCCCAACTTATTCTTTGTGTATTTGTAGGAGTGCATACCGCACTTGTGGTAGTCAGGAAAACTTACAGGAATCTGTTCTTTCCCTCCACCATTGGATTCTGGAATTGAACTCAAGCCATTCAGCTTGGAATCAAGTAGCTGTACCTACTGAACCATTTCAACTCTGTGTTTTATTTTTAATGAGCCACATACTGGTTGTACATGCTTTACAGGTATGGTGACATTGCAGGACATTTGGCATAATCATTACCTCAAACGTTTACCTTTGTTTTTCTTTTTCTGATACTTGTTTTTCATGCATTTTTGCCTGCATGTATGTGTATCTGTGCCCCACATGTATGCAGTGCCTTTGGAGGCCAGAAGAGGGCCATGCAGGTGTTGGGAAATGGGCCCAGGTCTTCTGCAAGAGCAGCAAGTGCTCTTAACTGCTGCACTATCTGCAACCCTTTGCACTGTGTTGGAAACATTCCAGTCCTTGCTCCTGTTATAAAGTATTTAGTTGTTGTCCACTGCTGTTACTATACTGTGCTGTAGAGCATTAGAAGTTGCTCCTTCTTGCTGGGTGGTGGTAGCAGCCCACACCTTTAATCCCAGCCCTCCAGGCAGAGGCAGCCTGAACAGAGTGAGTTCCAGGACAGTCAGAACTGCACAGGGAAATTATGAGGCCACTGGCAGTGGGTCCAAGATCTAACACTAATGCACAAACTGACTTAGTGGAGCCCATTCTCTATAGAGAGACACCTTGCCCAGCCTAAGCACAGGGGTGTGGGGAGTAGAGAGGTGCCTTGGTCCTGCCTCAGCTAGATGATGAGACAGACTTAGTAGACTTCCTAGGGGAGGCCTTACCCTCTCGGAGGAGCAGATGGGAGATGGGGGGTAGTGGAAGGAGGGGGAACTGGGATTGGAATGTCAAAAAATAATGTTTAAAAAAAATTGCTTGTCCTGGCCCCACCACATCCCTCCCAGGTCCTCTAGTGGCTGTTCTCTACTTCCGGAAAGTGAACTTGCTGTTTTCCATTGGTCAGGAGGCCTGGGTGGCACTTGCAGGCTCTTTGCCTATTGCCTGCCTCTTCTGTGTCAGTTACCCACTGGTCACTTCAGTATGTGTCTTGGCTTCGTGACCTGAAAGTGCAGCGTGCGGGGTGCTTTTTAACTGGGGGTGTCTTGTGCCCCAGCCTTGCCTCTGTCTTTCATGTCTTTAGGAGTTGGTAAATGTCTTACTCCGGTAGCTGTAAGGTAGATGATGAAGTCATCATGCTGCAACCCCGCCTGGCCCTGAGCAAATCCCACAGCTTGTATCTCAGGAAGGGGAACATGGGGCTCCTAGTTCTTGAGTTCTTAGACACCTGGTTCCTCTTAGCACCTGGTGGGGATATGGGCTCAGGGAGAGCAGGTGCTCTGTCCACAGTTGCCCTGACCCCGCCCCCAGAGTCCTAGAAGAAAGTTTTGTGTGCCCAAGTTCTGTGCCGTCTAGAATATGCTGACCCACATAGGTACTAAGAAATGATTAGCTTACAATGGTCACCTGCCCCACTCCTCGTGTGATGGGCTAGAATTGTCCCTCCTGCGTTTCTGAGTAGTTCCGTTTGTTACAAGTTTTGTCATATGAGAACCAAGAAAACACCAAACTCCTAAGTGGGCCGTTGCATCGAGGCCACTGAGTGAAGGATGGGTTATTAATGTGGCTGCTAGTGTGTGGTGGGCTGCTCCTTTGGGTTCCAAAGTTGGGCCTTTAGTGTGGGGCTCTGCTGTTTCTGAACTGAACCCGGTATTGTTTGGTCTCTGCATTCACAGGTGAAGGTTGTCATTCTGGGACAAGATCCCTATCATGGACCTAATCAAGCTCACGGGCTCTGCTTCAGTGTCCAAAGACCAGTTCCACCTCCGCCCAGGTACACCCACGGTGCCGCTGGCCTCAGTCCAGAGGACACATTGGTTGTCAGGGTGGCACTGCTCTGGGGGGATTGTACATATTCAGAGAAATAGAAGTTGGCTTGTGACATTGTACTCAGGTCTCCCATGGTGCTGTTCTGATTTTCAGTCTTGAGTGCAGACCATGGTAGAGGTCTATAGTAGATGACCTGTCAGGGCTTTTTGTCCTTCCCAGGCCCCAGCTGCTGTGTCCCTCCCATCCTGGCTTTGTTTCTAACCTTCTCACGCCCACCTTGGAGAGTTGAATTTATAAACTGTTGAAGATTCTGATTGATTATGCTTTTCTCTGCCTTGTTTTCAGTTTGGAAAACATTTTTAAAGAGCTGTCTACAGACATCGATGGCTTTGTTCATCCTGGCCATGGGGATTTGTCGGGGTGGGCCAGACAAGGTAACCAAGCCTAGCTAGGCCTATTTGGGGCCAATGCCAGTAGCCTGCGCACGTGCTCGCTTGCTCTCTCTTTCTCTCTCTCTCTCTGCCTCTGCCTCTTGTTTGTTTGCTTTTTTTTAATTTATTTAATTTTTTAAATTTATTTAATTTATTTAATTTTTTTTTAATTTGTCTCTCTCTCCCTCCTTCCCTCCCAGTATACCTATGCATGTAGGCGCGCGTGCGTGCGTGCGTGCGTGCGTGCGTGCGTGCGTGCGTGTGTGTGTGTGTGTGTACGTGCATGCTGGTGGAGGGCAGAGGTAATAAATAACCTGGAGCTGGAGTTACAGGCAGTTGTAAGATGCCCGGCATGGGTCCCAGGAATTAAACTCAGATCCTCTTTGAGAGTTGCTGTGCTCTTAACTGCAAGCCATCTCCAGTCCCATTGCTGTGTCTTTAAAAGATGAACCATACAGTAGTAAGGGGCCCTGATGTGGCTCATTACACCTGTGTTAGTTTCAACATGCTTGCTCCTGGCACTTTGTTCTTGGCTTCTAACAGTTTAATTTGTTGTCATCAACTATTTTGGGCCCATTTTCTTTTCTGGTTCTTTAATAATCATGTAGGATATATATTTTTGAACACCTTATTGTTTGCTACCCAAAACTGGAAGATGGCAAGGGGGCAGATATGAAACGAAACGTCCTGAAGCTGGCTCAGAGGTCACTGCGGGTCATGTTGAAGCACTGTTTATGACCTGATTTCACTTCTGCCCTGGGTCTCTTGTGATTAGCTTGGTCAGTTGGTGCTGCCTCCTAACCTTTGTCCATGCTGTTCACAGGTGTCCTCCTCCTCAATGCCGTCCTCACTGTCCGCGCCCACCAAGCCAATTCCCATAAGGAGAGGGGCTGGGAGCAGTTCACTGATGCGGTTGTGTCCTGGCTAAATCAGAACCTGCATGGTCTTGTCTTCCTGCTCTGGGGCTCTTATGCTCAGAAGAAAGGGAGTGCTATTGATAGGGTATGTGCCTTACAGCTGCTCTACAGAGAGCCGGGGACCTCGGGCCCCTGATGGTGTGCACAGCCCTAGGAATTCTACCTGTGGTGGCTTGTGTGATCCCAGTACCTAGGAGGTTGAGGTGGTAAGAGTGCAATGAGTTATGGGCCAGCCTGGGCTATGGAATTCGATGCAGTGGGAATGATCACTATGCCTCATTGCGTTTAATAACATAAATGAGCATTAGCCTACCCTGTAGTAAGGACACCGTGGTCCCTGGCACCACGTGTTTACATGTGATGCAATGCTTGATAAATAAGGCAAGTGTCCTGCTTCTGAGAAACTTGGGAGCATGCAGAAAACAGGCATTCTACTGAATCAGATAGGATTTGCTCACAAATGCCAGGAGCAGTGAGCACTTCCGCTGGAGCACCACTTGTGAAGCCCGGCAGGATCAGAGCACTTTCATTTCCTCCTTCCTGTGTCTGCTTCAAGACTGTACACTCACTTAACCTGTCACCAAGTCTCTGAGAAAGAGCCTGAGCCAACATCTTCGTTGAACCCTCTAGCCCTTCTTCCCAGTAAATCCTGTCTTACCAGTGAATCCAGGCACCTGTGTCTCTGAAATGTCCCAATACTTCACATTGCCTCTGCTTTCACTCCTGGGCTGGACGCCAGTATTTCTCTGTAGTAATGGCTGCAGGTGGATATAGACAGTAGGGCAGAGGTGGGGAGAGGGGATGGGAGGGGGAGTTAAGGTTTGCCAGGGTCTCCAGGGGACAGATGCATCACAGCTGCAGTGAGATTGAACCTGGTGTGTGTCAAATCTCAGAGTGGCTTTTGAGGGTGGGGACACTCACCCAGTGTTATGGGGCCAGACAGTGGCAGCTGGAGAAGAAGGGTCAGCATTAAGAGCACCTAACTGCTCTTATATGAGGGCCAGGGTTCTTGTCCCAGCATCGTGTAAGGCAACTCACTGCCTCCTGGCTTGAAACTTATCACTGCTGTGCATGGTGCCTTTCAGCTCCTCTGTGTAGGCCATGCTTCACAGCTCCTTCAGCAAAAGTGACCTGAATCCAGTCAGCAGGAGTAACTGGGCACTGGGGTGTAGCCATCTATCATTGCAGATGGTGCCCTGTGCCTCAGAGCCCAGCACACAAACGTGAGCTCCCGGTTTGTGAGTGCTGGGGTGAATATGCTCTAGTGGGCAGGGTAGAGCGTGCACAGGTGCCTCGGGGTACAGTGGCCATGGCTATGTTGAGAAGGTGCCAGCTGCCACACTGAACTCTGTTCTTTTTCAGAAGCGTCACCATGTTCTGCAAACAGCCCATCCCTCCCCGTTGTCGGTGTACAGAGGCTTCTTTGGATGTAGACATTTTTCTAAAGCCAATGAACTGCTCCAGAAGTCTGGCAAGACACCCATCAACTGGAAGGAGCTGTGATGCTGTGGTGCGGGCCACCTGTCTCCAGCAGTGATTCTGAGATGCTGCCACTGAAGCATTGGCTGGTTTGGAAGTCACTGAAAATGTCCCTGTCTTGATTGCCTGTGTGTGAAGAAAATGGGAGAGATCTTTGTAAAGCAGTCTCCAGCCAGCCAGGCCACAGGAACCGCAGCTTTAGCAGCCAGACCTTTTGACTGTCACTAGGTTTGACCTCTGTATACGTGGTGAAGTGGCTTGGCCAAACATGCCCACTTCTCACAGACCAATGGTCACATACTTGGTCCTGTGTGGGCTGTTTTGGGTTGGGGGAGAGATTTGCACCTTTTAGATGCCTGCTGCTGTTTACTTTTGCCTTTAGACTAGAGTTTACAAGGTGTCCAGGGTGAGTGCTTCAAAAGGCCCCTGTCTCTAAAGGAGCCCTTGAGTGTTTTTAGATCTTGAGAATCTGTTTCCTGATTACAAAGAGAGGGGGTGTGCTTTCCAGGGCTGCTGCCCCTCCTGCTCCTTTCCCAGGTCTTTGCCTTAAGCAAGTGGTAAAGTTGAACGAAGCAAAGGACAGGGTTTGTTTTATTTCAGATGGGGACAGGGGGGGTTCTTCCAGTGCCTGTAGAGTTGGGATTTTCTTATGGCAGATTGCCAGATGTTGGTTTGTGTGATCCTGGGGATCCAGCCCCAGGGTGCTGGTTTTTATGGTCCGAATCCACACAGATTTTATTTTTCTGCAACTTTTTTTTTTTTTTTTTTTTTTTTTTTTAACGAGGTAGGTAGGTACATATGTGTTTTCAGTCCTCCTTTGACAGATAGTCTACTGAGTTTATACCTCAGCCTGGATCCAGTGGGCCCAGCTGGTTAGAGCAGTGACCCCACCTGGGCAGGATAATAAAAACATCATTGGAGTTTGTCTTTTTTGTATCCACTGTTCTTCATTTGTCTGCAGGTGTCCTGTGCTTCTGTTGTCACCATGGCACCCACTCATGGCAGGAATGGCAGCCCTTTGCCTGTATGCCCTATTTGTAGCTCTCCACGGGGCCACCCACTGCCAGCCTGGAGCAGCTTGCTACAGTGCTGCTAAGAGCAGGGGTCTGCTGGGACCCCAAAGAAACAGTTTCTGGGGGCAGAGGGGAGTCCAGCCTTTGGGGATCTCGACTTGCCCATCCTGACAGAGTTCTGCCCTCTTCCTGGGAATATGAGTGTCTTGCCACTGACCCATCAGCTAACAGGCAGCCCTTGCAGCTGTCAAGCAGGCTGTCTAAATGCAGGTGGTATTAGCTGGTGTTGGAAGGAAGCAGATGCATCAAGGGACAGGGTGTGGTTGAGTGCACACAGCAGCACCCTGAATTGTAGAGAGCAACTACATGCAGTTTGAAAACTCTTTGCTTCCTGGCCTCCTTGTCTACAGAAGGCAACTTTAAGATTTCATGTTTGGGATCAACCAATAGGCTCCTTGAAGATGAAGACGCCAGAGTTTGCCTGTTGGCCCCTTTAGGGGCCCTCAGAAGTCATGTGAAGTAAGAAGTCTCCCTTACTCAAAAGAAAAGTGAGAGGTTCCATCACTGCCCACTAGGTTCAGGGCAATAAGAACTACATTAAGAGGCAAGGAACAGACAGCCATTGATTAGCTGTTTTAATAAAAACTGAAGGTTTGGCCTGGTAGTTGTGCCACATACCTTTGGGAGGCAGAGGTAGGTGGATCTCTGAATTTCAGGACAGCCAGAGCTGTTACACAGAAACCCTGTGTGTGGGGGTGCATACAACAGGTTTACCTACACCCCAATCTTTGTTTTAGATTTGAGGCAGGGTTTCTCTGTGTAGCTTTGGAGTCTTAGAACTGTGTAGATCAGGCTGGCCTCGAGCAGAGATCCACCTGCCTCTGCCTCCTGACTGCTGGGGTTACGAGGCATATGCCACCACCACCTGGCCTACATCCCAATCTTAAGGAAGCATTTTCTCAATTGAAGTTCCCCAACAACTTTATTAAAATCTAGCCAGCACACACCCACACGTGCTGAGCTGGAGAGATGGCTCTACTTTAGAAGCACTTGGTCGTCTTCCAGGAGACCTGAGTTTAGTTCCAGTGCTCAGGTAGCTCCCAGCCTCTCCCTAACACCTGTACTATGGATCTGGCACCTCTGGACATGTGGGCCCATGTGCACATACTTGCTGGAGATCTATACACCTAAACATAATAACATTTAGAAACGTCTTAAACAGTTGGAGGGCTAGTGAGACAGATGGTTCAGTGGGTGGTGCTGCCAAGCTTGAGGACTCTGAACTGTACCCCAAATCTACATAATGGGAACAGAACTGATGTGTGTGTCACTCCAGCCCCAAGGGATGTGACACAAGTCTGGACTTGGCCTCCTATCTTATGTGGGGCATAAATTCCCACACAGGATAATTTTTTAATTAAATGAATTTATTGGGGTGTGACCATGAGTGCAGGTGCCAAGAGAAAATTGACATTGGGCTGGAGACAGGACTAGGTGGGTGGAGCACTTTCTGCCAGGCCTGAGCTGAGTCTTGCAGGTGGTTTTTGGTTTTTCGAGACAGCTTTGGAGGCTGTCCTGGAACTAGCTCTTGTAGACCAGGCTGGTCTTGAACTCACAGAGATCCGCCTGCCTCTGCCTTGCAAGTGCTGGAATTAAAGGCTTGTGCCACCAATGCCTGGCTCCCAACCGAGCATCTTACAGGATGTATGGGCCTCCCTGCTCCATCCACTGGAAAGACAATCATTAAATATATACAACAAAAACCTCATGAGGTAATTGGCAGTAGATTTTGGGGGGTTCCATGTTGCAGGTATGTTTCTTTAGTACTGGACAAAATAATGAACAATGGGATAGATTTAAATGTTAGGATTGCAGCCATCTAGTCTCGTAACTGCTGGAGTCTTGAAACAGCCAAGGACAATGTGTAAGGGAGCAGGTGAGGCTGTGTAGTGGTGATGTGAATTAAATCTGATTTTCATGTGTCCCAGTATCCTTTGCCGTCCCTACTTCCATCCCCGCCCCCAGCACATAACAAATGTAGACACTGCCTGCCTTGGACAGCTTGCTGGCCCTTGGATACTCTGCTGATGGAGTGGGAATCAAATGTTCAGGAAAATGGGTCCATAGTTCGGGTCAAGCTGGGGGTAGAAGGAAGATTTCCTGCCAGACAGAATTTTATAGATCTAAGCTGTTCTACACAGCCAGGTAGCAGAGGCCCCCTCTGTGTGTAGATCTGAAGGCTCTGTATAGCACAGTGTGGGAGGCCTGTGAAGACCCCCCCCTGAAAAAATGGTTTCTGACACCTCCCTCCTGGACAACGAAGTCAGTTATGCTAATGCCATCTTGGGAGCCCCAAGTTATAAGTGTCAAAGTTCACTCCCTGGATTTGACCGGAGCCCAGCAGGGCAGAGTCGGGGATGCTGGTTCTATTGGTGAGTTTTCTGTTCTCTGAATCCCCCTTTCTCTTCAGGGGGCTCAGAGATCATTCTGGGGGTTCCAGTGGGAAAGCACAATTTGGGGGTTATGTATGTGATACTACTGGCTTTTCAGCTTAGCCTTGCCAAATCTTCATAATGGACGAGGGCGACAGGGATGCTTGAGGTGGCTCAGGTGCCCCTTGGGGCTCAAGGACCACAGGGTCCATGGCTTCAAATGTGGTCAGGAAGGGCATTGGGCCCGGGGTTGTCCTAATCCCCGCACACCAAACCGTGTCCAAGATGCCAGGAAGAGGGCCATTGGTCCCTGTGTCCCACGTGACAAGAGGATATCAAACACAGACTGCCCTCCAGCTGACTTCCTAGCACTGGCCATGGATGAGGACGATGGATGACAGGGCCCAGGCTCTCTTAACCACTGTCATCTCTGAAAGGGAGCCCCAGGTAGATATTAAAGTATCAGGGTGGTCCATCTCTTTCCTTTTGGACATCGGTGCCACATACTCGGTCCTAAGGGAGTTTTGGGGACCCACCTCTCCTCGTTTCCCTATTGTCGGGGTAGGGGGACAGCCTTACCTCATCTGACTCCACCACTTAGTTGCATTTTCATGGGAATTCCCCTCACTCATTCGTTTTTGTTTTTGGTTATACCAGCTTGTCCTGTGCCTTTACTAGGGAGGGATCTTTTAGCCAAGGTAGGAGCTTCTATTTCTCTTGCTCTCCACATTCGTCTGACTCCAGATGCGCCAGCGGCTCCCCCCCTCCTAGTTTCTCACCCTGTAGGTTCCAGTATGCCATTTCCTTTACCAGCCTCCTGGGTGGACCCCAAGGTCTGGGACACCCAGAACCCTTCTGTGGCTAGACACCATCCCCCCATTGTCATTCAGTTACAGGACCCCTCGGGGTACGTTGCTCAAGTTCAGTACCCACTCCAGAGCCTTAAGGGACTTAAACCTATTATCTCTGACCTCCTAAGGAAAAAGTTGCTTCATCCTACCTCCTCCCCCTTCAACAGTTAAAAAACCTAATGGGACTTACCGTCTGGTTCAGGACCTCCGGCTCATTAACTCTGCGGTGGTCCCCCTCCATCTTGTGGTTCCTAACCCTTGCACAAGCAAGCCATTTTGCTGGGAGCCTAATGTTATTTTTTATTTATTTATTTATTTTGAGACAGGGTTTCTCTGTGGCTTTGGAGGCTGTCCTGGAACTAGCTCCAGGCTGATCTGGAACTCACAGAGATCCGCCTGCTTCTGCCTCCCAAGTGCTGGGATTAAAGATGCGCCCAGTTATGTTATCTTTTTTTTTTTTTTAAAACCACAATGGCTGATGAGAACACAGAACCTCAGGGTCATGAATAATCGAGGAATGAACTCACATCAGCCTGATGACAATGGAGGATAATCTTGTCACTCTTAACCCCCTGCCTAGATTGCAATTGCAGAGACACTGGGAAGGAAGGGAGGAGGGGCTGGGGAGAGTAGCCAAGCCCTTGGAAATGCTAAGCAAGAGCTGTGCTGCACCATCACCCTGAGAAGAAATGTGTTTGGTGGACTTATTTGAAATGCCGTCCCTTCTCACACAACTTTCCAGGAGATGCGTTTACCACGGAACCTTTTTCAGGGATCATGGGAGCATCTTTAACAGTTTAGGAGTGGGACTAGGCTACTGCTTATCTAGAGCATCCTCAGGTGTGCTAGCCCTTGACTTCATTCTCCATTCCCAATCATGTGCTTGTGGCACAGGCTTTGAAGAAGACAAGAGTAACGACTCAAAGTTTTCGTCCTGCTCCCATGGGGACCCCCCCCCCCCCCCCCCCCGCCAAGAAGCCCAGTATTTGTTGATTTTTCCTAACTGGAAAACAAGCCCACATGTGATGTAGCCCAGGTAGGATGTCAGGTGTTCCAGGAGTGGGCAGAGCTGCCCTTCTGTGCTCCTTGCTGGCTGCACAGCACAGCCATGGAACAGAATTTGGGACCACTCCGCTACTGTCCCCTCTCTATCTGAGCACAGTGTTGGCATGTGGCTTCTGCTTCCTTGCCTGCTGCCAGTTGGGGTTGGGACCTGGAGGTGACCTTTGGTCCACGTGTCTCAGAACACTCGGTGACTGCAGCATGGGGCTGGCCTCCTCTGTTCTGCTCAGACCTGTCCTGAGCCAGCCAATCCCGAATACAGCAGCCTTGTTTTATAATCCCCAAGTCCCAAGAAATTAGAAATATTTCACAAACAGGGCATGACTGCATGGGTCTCCTGCACGCTTGTTGGGGAGGGGTGCCACACCATCTTTGGAGGCCCTTCCCTCTCCGTGCAGACTCACTTCTCTAACGATCAGCACCCTGTCACAGGCCAGAGTGACCTCCCCGTATTGCTTATGACACCTTGGGCTTTAGATGGCTCTTGTCTAAGTCTCCAGCAATTTTGAAATAAAGTGAGCTGTGGGGTTAAGGGGCGGGACAGTTCCCTGGGAGTGTGCAGCCCCAGCACACTGCTG